GAGAGGAAGGGAGAGGGAGAGAAATAGAAAGGGGGGAGTGAGAGAGAGATGGAGGGAAGAAGGGAGAGAGGGAGAGGGAGATGGAGTAGGGGTAAGGAAGGAAAGGAAAGGAGAGTGGAGGAGGAAGGAAGAGAAGGGAAAAGAGAAGAAAAGGGATAAGCTAAGAGAAGGAGGGAAAATACCAAAGGATGAGAGAAATACAGATACGAAAAGGGAAAATATATAAAGGGGGGGACAAGAGGAAGATACCATGAAGAAAAGAAAAACGAAGGGGAAATACCAAAAGAAATGGGAGGAAATACCAAAAAGGGGAAAAGTACCAACACAAAGAGGGGAAAGAGTACCAAGAGAAAAGAGGAGGAAAGAGGGACAGCTAGAGGGAGTAAATTGGCATGGTTTAAAGAGGCGTGTGTCTCGTCATCAAGCAATGGCAATTAAGGGCGACTTTCTGTTATTGATTCTACGGTCGGAAACCCCTAATGACGTTTGTTTGTTTTGGATGTTTTCCTTGTTGGTTTGTTTTGATTGTTTGTTTTGCTTGTTGCGATTTCTTTTTGTTTTTGTTTTGTTTTTATTTGCGTTTGTGTTTGTTAGTATTCATATTTGGTTCGATCTTTGTCTCGTTTTTTTTGTGTGTTTATGTTTTATTTTTGTTTTTATTAAAGAAAACTGATATTATATGATAAGAGAAGTGTATGGGGGAGGAGTGAAAGAAGAAGGGGGAAAGAGAGGGATAACGGAGAGAGGAAGGAGAGGGAGGAAGGAAGAAGGTGGAAGAGGAAGAGAGGGATGGGGCAGGAGGCGAGGAAGGAAAGGGGGGGGGGAGAAGAAGGGAGGGGAGGGGGAGGGAGGCAGTACAGGTGTTAATTCCGCCCAAAGGAAATTTTCTAGGCTTCCGTCAACCTCCCCACCCCCTACCCCTCCCCTAACCCTTCCCTGCCACCACCCCCACCCCCACCACCCTCCGTTCACTCAGCGTCCACACCTTCCATCTACCCCTACCCCTCCCCTAACCCTTCCCTGCCACCACCCCACCCCACCACCCTCCGTTCACTCAGCGTCCACACCTTCCATCTAAAACCCCACTCCCCCTCCCCCCCCTCCCCCCTCCCCCGTACCCCCCTCTCCCCTTCCCACAATCCCCCCTACTAACCCCCCCTTCTCTCCCCCTACCCTCCCTCCCTCTTTTCTCTCATCCATCCCTCCCTCCCTACCCCTACCCCCCCTATTACAATTCCTTTACCCTCGCCATGCCTCTATTTTTTTTTTTTTTTTTTTTTTTTATGGAAGTGCTCTTTTAAATTTCTTTTGATGCCGTTAATGCGTTAGAAGTTCACACTAATTATTGTCGTCTGTGAATCCTAATAGATTTTATCCTAATCGAATTATCGCATCGTAATTATCATCAACACTATTAAGATGAATCTAATAAGGGTACATATAATCTCAGTGAATTAACGAGAATCATATCAATTATTATATCATGTTACTAATATGTACTATATTTGAGATCGGAAATGCCTCTTTTGATATCAGAAATTCCATTTTTGATACCAGAGAAACGATACTTAATAACATAAATACCAATTCGATACCAGAAATGCCATACTTGACACTAGAAATATCACATTTGATACCAGAGCTACCATACTTGATAGCAGAAATACCACATTTGATACCAGAAATACCATATTTTATACCAGAAATACCACATTTAATACCAGAAAAAAACATACTTTATACCAGAAATACCATACTTTATACCAGAAATGCCACATTTGATACCAGAAATACCATACTTTATACCAGAAATACTTCATTTGATACCAGAAATACCATACTTTATACCAGAAATACTTCATTTGATACCAGAAATACCATACTTTATACCAGAAATACCATACTTTATACCAGAAATACTTCATTTGATACCAGAAATACCATATTCCATATATAAATACCATACCTGATAGCAGAGACACCACACCTGATACCAGAACTACCAAACTTCATACCAAAAATACCACACTGATATCACCCATACCCTATTCGATACATAAAAAAATCGAAGACCCTTTTAACAATTTTATCATAAAATATCACTACACAAGCACCACGCGCGCTGCCCTGCCTCTCGTGACGCAAACAGCAGCTGCGGTAAATGAAGGAGAAAATCAGAGGCAAAAGGAATAATGAAAAAGCCAAAGAATATTTGAATAAAACATGAACGCAAAGTAACTGAAGCGAAAGGAGGAAGGAGAGACATATTGAATAAACCGTAACATTTGAATAATGTATTTTGAATGATGATAGCTGGAAGAATAGTTATAAGTGTTAATGATTTCGGGAAAGCATTGTAGCGAATGAAGGAATGGGGAAAAACGTGGAATAAAGGGAATTAAAAGATAATGATGAAAGAAATAAGAGGAATGGGAAAAGGTGAAATAGACGGTATTAAAAAGAACTATATAATAAAGAATGGGAATAAAGTGAAATGAAGATAATTAAAATGTAATAATGATGAGAGGGAATGACTAATAGAATAGGGAAAATCATGAAATAAATGGAATTAAAAGATGATAATGATGGTAGTGAATAATGATCATAGAAATAATCTCATGATAATCGTATATATATTTGGTATGAAATATTAAGGGACTTAACGAACGAGTGGAAAGGATGAAATAGATGATAAAAAAGGAAGATAGGAAGACATTTAAGGGTAGATTTTAACACATCAAATTCAGTGGAAAGAGAGAGAGAGAGAGAGAGAGAGAGAGAGAGAGAGAGAGAGAGAAAGAAAGAGAGAGAGAGAGAGAGAGAGAGAAAGAAAGAGAGAGAGAGAAGAGAGAGAGAGAGAGAGAGAGAGAGAGAGATCGTTAAACTGAATAATAAATATAAATATGTTTTCTTTCATTATATATTTCTTTTTTTGCAAATTAAGCTTCACCACAAAATACCTATAACCTCAACGAAAGGAAAAACTCGAAACTACATAACGAAACAAACAAACAAAAACATTAACCGAAACAAAAACACAAAAACATCAACAATCAACCACAATTTTTTTCATGAATAAAAAGATAAACAAACTTTCCCCCCAAAACCGTAACTGAAACAACAAACAAACAAACAAACAGAAAAGACACACAGGTAACTCTCCCCCCCCCCTTCCGCTCCCTCCCCCACCGATCACCAAAAGCAGCTGTGAATTTCGTAAATGCGGTCATGTGTGCGTATCCATGTGTTTGTGTGCGCGTATGTATACTGGGCTTGTGTGTGTCTGTGCGCTGTTTGTGTGTGTGTGTGTATGCGTGTGTGTGTATTGTACTTGTATATGTGCGTGTGTACTATGCTTACATTCGCGTAAGTATGCGCATGTACGTGCATTATCCTTGTATGCGTGTACGTGATCATTGTATCGTACCTGTGTTCATGTACGTGCGTGTGCGTGTATCATCCTTGTATGTGTGTATATCATTCGTATCGTGCCTGTATTCATCTACGTGTGTGTGTATCACCCTTGTATGTATGTACGTTTATATGCATCCGTAATCATTCGCATCGTGCTTGTGCCCGTGTGCGTGCGTCCGTGTACGTGTGTGCGTGTAAGTGCATGAGCGTGTCAAAACAGCCACTCGCGAATCCCTCCCCAGTTCCATACATATTTGCCGGTCGAGAGACAACACCACGGTAATTGCTAGTTTGGCAACCGCAAGCAGTTAATTACTTGACCTCAGTTGACCGCGCGGATGACCCCGTCACGCCAAGTTGGGGATGTCTGTTGGCGATGTTTGTTTTGCGTTTTGAATTGGTTTTGCGGAAATGAGGTTGCATTTATTGGTTTGTTATTATTGGAATTACTGTTAGTTATTAATATTCATGGTCTTTGTGATTGATGTTATTGTTGTTGTTATTATATTTATTCATGGTCTTTGTGATTGATGTTATTGTTGTTGTTATTATATTTATCATTTTTATAACTGCCATGTTAGTCTTATTATAGTCATCATTATAACTGCTATTGTTATTATTACTGTATATACTGATATCACATTATCTCTTATTAACCAAATCACTAATCTATTTTCTCTTTTTCTTCCCTCCCTCCTTCACCTCCACCTTCACCCCTTCCACATTTACCTTCCTCCCACCTCCACCTCATCCAACCCCACCCACCCCTCCCCCCACCCCCTCACCCCTCCCTCCACCCCACCTCCCCTCCTCCACCCACCCCTCCCTCCCCCCCCTTCACGCCCACAGGCAAGAGCTTCAACCTGTCCATCATCATAAGCACGGCGCCCATGCAGATGACAACCCTCACAAAAGCCATCAAAGTGACGGTGGACGGACCAAGGGAGCCGAGGAACAAGTCACGTGAGTGGATCGTTGGTAGGTGGATGAATGCGGAGTGTAGGTGGAGTGGTGGAGCGGGGAGTGAGTGGAGTAGTGGGGGTATGTGGAGTGGGGAGTGAATGGAGTAGTGGGGGTATGTGGAGTGGGGAGTGAGTGGAGTGGTGGAGTGATGTGGGTGTGCGAAGGGGGAGGGGTGGAGTGTTGGATGGTGGAGTGTGGTGCAGTGGAGAGTGAGTGAGTAGTGGGGAGTAAGTTGTGGAGTGGTGGTAGTGACTGGAGTAGTGGGGAGTATGTGGAGTGGTGAAGGTGTCGGAGGGGGGTGTTGTATGGTGGAGTGGAGAGTGAGTGGAGTAATGGGGAGTATGTGGAGTTGGTGTGGTTTGTGTTGGGGGGGTTGTATGTTGTATGATGGATTGTGGTGGAGTGTAAATGGATGAATGAAGGGTGGAGGTGAGGTGTAAGTCGAGAGGGGGGCGGGGTTGTGTGTTGAGTGTAAAGTGGCGTTATCATTGGTAGGTGGATGAACGCGGAGTGAAAGTGGAGTGTACGTGGAATAGTGGGAAGATAAGGCTTTGCTGTGTATGCGACATGGTGTAGTAGGGTTTGGCTGAAAGTCAGTATATTAAGGTGGAGCGAGGAGTAGT